AACTTGTTCCTCAATGCAGAAATACAGATCAAAGGATATCTGCCAGGTGGCTGTCTAAATTTATCTGGAATGTCTCCAGTACTAGAGTACTCACCACCTCTTGAGATAATTGGTTCCACTGCCACACTGCTCTAACAGTTATGAAGGTTTTCCTGATAGTCAATCGGAATCTGGCTTTCTGCAATTTGAGCCTGTTATTATGTGTCCTGCACTCTGGAATTATCAGGAAGATAATCTGCATGATAGCCATTCAAATGTTTACAAATTTCTGCCATCTCTCCCCATAGTCTTCTTTTCTCAAGGCCAATCATGCCCAGTTCTTTCCATCTTTCCTCATAGGGTTTGGTTTCCAGCCTCCTAATCATCCTTGTTGACCATATAAATAGGTATTTCAGAGATGGTTTTATTTAGTGTTTTCAGCAAGTGGAGAAGTGAATCAGTGGACAGTGATCCTGCGGATGGGGGGGGTGGTTTCTTATAATATGACTGTCATTGATTTGCATTCTTTCACATTACCACTTGTTTCAACTATGCAATTGTTACCTTGTAGACTTGTAATTAATGTTATTCACAGTCTGATACCCTGTTCTGTTACTAATGAACCATTCTCCCTTTTCCCATTATCTGTATCCTTACCTGATTATGGGGCCATGTATGAATATGATAGTCATGTAGTCTGACTCTTATGTCTGAGGAATTGGAATGGATCCATGAAAGCTAGTCATATAGTCTGACTCTTATGTCTGAGGAACTGGAATGGATCCATGAAAGCTCACCATCCTGGCCATTTCCCCATTTCAGAGATCAGCCAGAGCTCCAACAGGATCGCCTGCCAAGGCAACAGGAAACTCCTCAAGAAGCGTCAGAAAACCACTTGGATCCATCAGTTTCCTGGGGCGAACCATCCTAATAGGTCTTCCACCCCTGCAGAGATTAAGAGTTCCAGTAGGTCTAAACCTCACCAGGTAGTGATCTGTCCTTGACAACGGAACTACAGAGAGCTCCTCTACACCCAAATCGCCACCATCCTGCCCAGCATGAAATACAAGGTCCAGAGTGTGCCCTGCTATGTGTGTGGGGCCAGAAACCACTTGGGACAGGCCCATGGTTCACATGGAGGACATGAAGTCCTGAGCCGCTCCTAATAAGTTGGTCTCAGTGTGGACATTGAGGTCCCCCAGTACTATCAGCCTAGAGGACTCCAACTTCACCTCTGATACCAAATTAGTCAGCTCAGGAAGGGAGACTGTGGAGCAGCGGGGTGGACGGTACACCAACAGAATCCCTATCCTGTCCCGGGCACCCACCTTTAAGTATACACACTCGAACCCAGAAAGCTATGGGACAAGGCACCTGGTGAGGGGGGACAGGCTACTGCAACTCCACCACACTACGCTATGGGACAAGGCACCTGGTGAGGGGGGGACAGACTACTGCAACTCCACCACACTACCCTCCAGGTCTGGCCTGCTGCTGCACCGAGAACCCAGGTGGGCAAAACTGGGCAAAACTAACTCCCCCAGCTTCAGCCAGCCAAGTCTCTGTAATACAGGCCAGGTCAGCATGCTCCTCCAGGATCAGGTCCTGGATGGCTGATGTTTTCCCTTCTACGGACCTGGCATTCAGCAGCAGCTGAATATATGAGTTCTGGTGACATCTTGTGGCTTCATAGGGACACTGGAAAAGTAATAATGGAATTAGGCCCAGCTTAGGAATCAACCTGCAAGCTTCTAGTATTTTTGGCCTTTTCTTAGAGTTCTGACTCTGGAATAGTCCAGTATCTTTCTCCCCCTCTTCTACAACCTCTAAAATCTGAAAAAGAAAAAGGAACTGAAATCTTGCTATTTCACAAACTTTAATATTTAGCAATCATGCACTGTGAGGAAACAGGGAGCTACGAAGGGCAGTTAACTGCCACTAAGGCGGCCAGAAATCTTGGTTAGCCATAATTATGGATATTTCAGCAAGGTCAAACTATTCTTTAAGCAGTGATTTGTAATAATCAGAACTAGAAATGTGAAGCTGAATTTGTTGGAAGCTCAATTTTGCTGCTGATACTCTATTCGGCAATTGTCCTTGTTCTTGCAACAACCTCTGAACTCACTAGACGGCCTCAAGCAACCCGCTATAAGAAATATTTTAATGGTCTGTTGATTATTCAAGAGGATGCACAGACTCTCTTATAGTGGCTCAGTGTTAATTAGTGTGCTACTGAGTGTTTGAGCTTGGATATTTGCTTTCTTAACTCTGACGCAAAACCTGAAGCTGCATTGTTCAGTACTTTGGCATACAATTCAGGTAAACTCTAGCATAGAATAGTGGTCTCTTCTATAATAAACCACTAATTTTTAATAGACTGCTATTGTAATACAGAGGTTTTACACAGTGAGTTATAAAGATAAGAAAATAATATATGTGAAGCACTTTTAAATGCTATAAATTGCATATAATTTTCTCCACATAGCAAATAAACAAGAAGTACAGTACAGCAGTAGCATGATCTTGTGACTTTATTCCATTAGTACTGTGCTAATGGGGGAGTCCTCCACTTTACTAGTAGAACCGTGTCTGTATTCACTTGTAGATTGAGCATAAAAACAGAAAAGTCAAAAAGCAAATCCCAGTAAAGAAACTGAATTGATCAGTTTTTCTTTTAAAAACATGCAGGCTAGATTTCTACCCAAGCATTCAACTATTGAGTACATGTATTACAGTAAGTTCCTGGATCATGAACAATGAATGTTAAAAGCTATTATTAAATATTTAAAACTGCATTTGGAGTGCACATTGCACAAAGCCATGAAAGACAAAGGGAAACTAGTGTTTCCAAGGCCAGGAGAAGCCAAGCATTCAAACTAGTAAAGTTCCTGAAGGCACAAGACAAAATTAAAATTATCAGCTTTAACTGATTACTAGCTGGGGTGGGGGGTGGGGGGGACACTCCCATGAAAGGATGAGTTCTGTTGGGAGAATTGAAATAATGAAGTTCCAATATTAATTATTTGAAAATTATTTAGAAGAACTGATCCTGAAGAAAATTGCAAGACATAACAAAAAAAAAACTGACTTAGTATAGAACAGTAATGACAACCCGATCCCTGTGAGATATCAACAGATAAAGACTAGCTCATCAAAATTAAGGCTAATGAGAAACAAAGTTAACTTTTGTTCAATGTGAAGCAGCTGCCTCTGGCACCCCGGGTGGCCCATCTGGTCTCATCCACTTGACATGGAGACCACTGGATGTTAGGTGGGTGAATAAAGACGAGTTGGCCTGCCCAGAGGAAGGAGACAGCTGGAGGCGATAAAGATGAACGCCTGGGGAAGGAAGTGGGGACTGGAGTCTCCAGGCAGCTGAGGGCTATAAAACTAGAGACGACAGAGATGGGAACTTATATAGGGTCAGAGGAGGTTGATACAGGAGATCCATGGCAGGAGGAGGTCTGGGGTAATGGGCTAGAACAGCCAGTGCCTGCTTTCCTGGTGGAAGACTCATTTAAATATACTTTCTAGTGAGACTCTCGGACCGAGGTTCTGGTGGAGCTGCAGGTGCCATGAGGAACAAGTTGGGTGGGTTCATGGTGCAGGTTAGGACTCTTGACAATTACTACCACATGACTGCTGCCACTGGAAACACCTCAGTTACCTGGTCAGTCAACCCAGTCCCCAGCCCTGATGCCAAAAGAGGTTCTGGAGGCAACCGCAAAACCCCAGAACTTGGGGCAGCTTGCTTGTACAAACCCTCTTTTTGAGGTGAGGGGCAGGCGGGTGTCAGCTTTGAGAGCCGTTGGTGGCTCCACATTTTTTGTTTTGTTCTGGCTTCAGTGGAAACGACTGAAGGCCCCAAAGGCACTGGACTCTCAGAGGGACTAGTGGCTGAAAGGAAGCAGACATTCAGGAAGGAGGTTGATTTTGTTGGAGTCACTGCTGTATTCCTTGCCTCCATAAAAATGGATTTGCCTCAGATTTCCAACTTTCCAGGCTGGATTCCATGGTTGTACAGACTGAAGAGGGGTTGCCCATTGTCCCAAGGGCAGCAGTGTTCACATTCTGATACTGAAATATAGGGAGGGGTAAACATAAATATAAATACTGTAACTGTGGATCAGGCTAAAAGGATCCTAGCCCCTTAGACATCCATTTGAGAGAATCAGAAAGAGACAGAGGTGTCCCATTGGTGGACAGAGAAGTGTCCATCTTGAAGGGTCCAATTACACCAATGGAAAGTTCTGTGCCTATACATGTACCATCAGAGGTGTTACTGCCAGTGTTAGGCTTCAAAATGGACAGGGCACTGGGAAATAACTGTAAATGAGGTGAATTTAAGTTCCTACATTCCTCCAGAATTAACCCCAGTGTGTACCTTGGCATGAAACAGGAAACAAACATCCTGGAGGCTGACATAAAACAGCATGTGTCTCCATTATGGTACACATTGTTCACCCTCGCTGAAGCAAGCTTCATTCGCCCCAGTTTAGGTCCAATCTAATCAAATAATGGGAACAAAGTGATTCACATTTTCTCCAAAAGATGAACAAGGCGAAAAATGGCTGATGTGTTAAATGCCAGAAATGATATTGTAACATATTATTGTATAAATATGAACTTTAAAAGCTTGTAAGTAAAATATCAAAACAGATCTTTCAGACTGAATGTTCAGACTTTTTGTACAATATATGTAGAATATTGATTGGGCCCAAAATGTACAAGGTTTTCATTAACAGCATCTTTCAGACTGAATGTTCAGACTTTTTGTTGATTGGGCCCAATATGTACAAGGTTTTCATTAACAGCGGAAGCATATGTAAACTGGAGATTCTGCAACATTCTTATTTCATTCTTATTTCACCACTGTCCTGTTGTGCAAATTATTAACACAGATAACAAACTAGTTTCCTTTGCTGCCTTTATGTGTAGATGGCTACTAGAGATACATGTATGGAACTGCTTATGTATGTCCAATGATGTGGACTGGTCCACACATGGAAGAGCTGCATATATAATTTGCAATTAAAAGATTTTACTTCCACATATAGCCCTGGGATTCAAGATATGTATGATGTACCACAAAGAAGACAATAACATAACATATTATCAGTGTACAGGAGAAAGCATTCTATGTTGTAAATCAGCAGCTTTTCATCGTCTCCTCTGCTCTTGTAGACAACAAACCTGAAAATTTATGGAACAAGATTTGTCTCATGGTCTTCCTGTTCTGAGCAAAAACATGATGCTATAGTAAAACTGTGATTTTAACAAACAAGAACTTGTCTGCCTCAATTTTGAAGTGCTGTTACATTTACTTCACATTCTTGCTTCAACATGCTGTGTGCCCATGAAGACATCAGAATACATATAAAGGATACAGAAAAAAAACATACAACCATATTAGTGCAAGACAAATAATTTACCTCAACATAAAACATTGAAAGGAAGATCATATATTCCATACATTTTTTCTAAGGCAGATGGTCAGCTTCTTTTTAAAATATAATAAATGCTGCTCAGAAGAGGTAGAAAATACCAAAATATTATTTCAGAAAACATCTGTCCAGCTATGTTGCAAATAGTTAAAAAAAGACAGCTTTTCTATTGTCCAGCAGGATCTTCTTCTTCTCTCTCTCTCTCTCTTTTTTAGAAGCAAGCAAAGGAATGAAACAAAGAGGTCATGCTGTGTAAAGATTTTTCTCAGCACTCACATTTCTTTTCATTTGGTCTTATGTTTCCATGATCTAGCTTTAGGAGTACATTGTGTTACAATTTACTGAATAATACAATCCAGCCTAATGCATCTGCTTGCAACTAACTTCCCACTCCCTTGTGTCTGCAAGGATTTCAACCACAATTCTTTTTGGTTGGATTGTGGCCTGAAACTTTAGTCTAGATGAGGCCCATCTAAGATCATACAAATGGCGGGACATAATCTGCTAGGAGTGCTCATTGTGCAAGTCTAGTTGAACTTTGCAATGGATCAACTTCCATTTGTTCCAATGAAGGTGTAAGAGAAGTTCTCCAGTGACTGTGCCCCTTTTTTGTAAGGCAGTAGAACCATCAATACTACTACCACTTCATACTATTTCTTAGAATAGGTTTCTCTTCTGGAGTAAAAATATTATTACTAAATACCTTCTTTCAAAAAGAAGTCAAAAAGATTCCAGCACTGAAACAGAATCTTAGGCAAGAAACATAATACATATACTCACTCCAGCTTTGGTAGCTCACCTAACATACGGGGGAGATCCATGTATCCATTTTGTTTTCATGGTGCAGCTAAATGCTGTTGGCCAATACTCTCTTTTGCACAATCTGATAAGGCATTAAATCTGAACTTGCACAATCCTTTGGATAAAATAGTGTTAAAACCTTACTGCCCTCCAACCCTTATCAGATATAACATTCAACAATTGTTTATTAAATACAATATATAAAGGAAATCAGAGTTTTTTTACATTCAAACAAATCATGGTAACTATCAAAAAAAGCCGAGGAAGATACAGAACAAAGTAAATGAGCATGTCAAAACTCTAAATCAAGCTGGAGTCTAGAATATCAAGGTGATATGCAGCATTTCCTTCCTTATAACCAGGAAAACAAGAGAGAAATGTCCTCGTCTCCTGTCCTTTTATCACCACAGAACAGGATTGTCCAACTTGAAAAAGCCAGGGTTTCTCCTAAGTTCCAAGTAGGTTCCATTGCTGACCCAAGAGTCATCTTCAGATTTCCTGTCAAACAGTGGAAAGAGACATCTTTGTTTTACTAATATGAGTGCCTTAGGTTCCGCTAAATGTTTTTTTTTAACTGGCTTTGTGGAGAGGGAGAAAAAGGCTACAACACTTTGCTCTTCGTAGGCATCACCCTCATCCACTGGAATCCACTGGCAGCAGAAGCTACTTTTGAATGAAAGCCAGGTAATACTGTCTCCAGGCATACTGTACATTTGCCATCTGGGTCACACAGGGGCAGCATCTCATAAGTGTGCAGGTGCTGGCTCTCTGTGTGATGCAACTCACACACCAAGAGAGATATTTATTTACCCCAAACCTTTCCTCTAGCAAACTAAAAGTATATATAGATTATTCCCATGCAGTCCCCCGTCGGGGTTCTAAACAAACCCAACCGTGTTTAGATCCAGCAAAGTTATGGATCCTGGGTGTCCAAGAATAAATATGTGCTTGAAATGTGGAGAGGGTTGTGCTGCCAGGGAAACACATTATTCAACTCTGATCTCAATCTTCAGAATGCAGTGGTGCCTCGCTTAACGAGCGCACCGTTCAACGACGAATCCGCACAGCGACGCGTTTTCTGCAATCGCTAATGCGATCACATTGCGATGTTTTAGGTGGCAAAACATCGCATTGCGATGATTGGTAAGCGTTCTGCTTACTGATCTTCGCATTGAGATGTTTCCCCAACAGCTGATCGGCGGTTCCAAAATGGCTGCCAGAAGAAGAAAATGGCCGCCTGCTCCGTTTTCGCGCCCTGCCCTCGCTTACCAAGGTGGCGAAAATGGCGGCCAAATGGGGAATCTTCGCATACCGGTAAGTTATGTCCCCACAGGAACGCATTAAACGGAGTTTAATGCGTTCCTATGGGGTTTTCCCCCTCGCATAGCGACGCTTCCGGATAGCGACGATTTATCTGGAACGGATTAACATCGCTATGCGGGGCACAGCATCTATTTAGAACATCCATTGCCTTAGCGGGATTACTAAAAAGGGATACAGAGTTGTATGCTGATGACACTTGATCTCCACTTTCTGAAGAATCCCTCTGAGTAACTGGGGACAGTACTCATTCTTGAAGCATACTAAAATCCCTCTGACCAACTTCTGTGATGTATCTGAGAGGCAGTGATGAAACTACTGCAGAACTGATACAATTCACGTAATGCAGAAAACTACCAGTTTTGATGGTCCCGAGAGCTCCTGGGGTTGAAATTATGAGGCTAAAATTAAAATACTCAGGGACACATGCAGCTTACTCCCCCCCCCCGGGTATCATGACACACATATAAAAGAACATCAGAAATGAAAAGTCCATAACAATATTGGAGGAAAGACCAGCAAACAGAAGTCAGCTTCCAGTATCCTAACGGTTGATTTTTCCTCCAAAAACATCAGATTTCCTATTTAGTCCTTAGCCTATTATAGTGGACCCTTGACTTACAGACTTTTTGAATTACAGACTTCTTTGCCCGCAAAATTTAGGTTCAACTTGCAGCCAGAGAATCGACCTACAGACCAGAAAAAAACCAAAACGGAACAAAAATGGAACAAAAATGGTCGGTTATGGATTAATCGGTTTTCAGTGCATTGTAGGTCAATGGAGACTCGACCTACAGACTTTGTGACCTGCAGCTACCATTCCAATACAGATTAATTCTGTAAGTTAAGGGTCCACTGTACTTATACCAGTGTGTTTATGAATTACTTTCTAACCAGAGCAGCATGTTTCCCCCAAACTATCATTTTTAACCTAGATAGATAGACAGACAGACAGACAGACAGACAGACAGACACCAGAGCAGCATGTTTCCCCCAAACTATCATTTTTAACATAGATAGACAGACAGACAGACAGACAGACAGACAGACAGACAGACAGACAGACAGACAGACAGACAGACAGACAGACAGACAGACAGACAGACAGACAGATCTTGCAGATACCTGTTTCTCTGCTCATATCCAACTGTTTCACAGCTGAAGGGATTTCATCTACGTTATAAATTACCTGAAAAATCTAGCCTGATGTTCCATATTGTTTTCTTCTAGAACTTTCCGCCTCTCTCTCTGTAACTGTTCAATCCTCTGTTTCTGTGCTTCTGCTCCTTCAATATTCCCTTCTTCTAAGAGCCTGCCATGCAGCAATAATTGAAGAGGAAACAATCATTCCCACACTTTCAAATTTTATTTAATTATTTTTTATTTTAATATTTCTAAGACAGCCTATAATATCCATGGATCTTAGTGCAGGGCAGAATCAATAATATCACATTAAAAGAACATAATACAATTTAAGTACTTTGAAGCCATTAAAGCATTTAAAAACACTTTTGAAACAGTTTAATAATTCACAGATTATAACATACTTTAGAACTTATGATCAAGTCTCTCTAATTATCTAATGCTCAGGTGAGCACTAAGGTTTTAACTTGGTGTCAAAATAAAAGCCATGTTGGTACTAGACAGACTTCCAAGGCATTCCATGAGTGAGCTGCTACTCATGGGAAAGCCCTTTGCTGCACCTCCACATCTCTTCTCAACAGTGAGACATAGAGGATTCCCTCAGCAGATATTAATGATTGATCTGCAAGGGCTTTCAGGAATCCTTTAAGATTCCTTATTTCTGAAGGCAAACCATCTTAACTAGACCTTTTCTCTTCCACCATTTATCGTATTTTAGGCTTGCTCAGTTTAGTGAGCATCATCAAGCCTTGTTCAAATATCTCATTTTTACCAGCAAGCTAGGCTGACCCTATCCCACCACAGACATCGAACTGGATAGGAATGGCAATATGTGAGGAAACGCAGTTGGCAGATTCCAGAAGTAAATGGAAACTGGGCAAAGGGTTGCTGATGTTTTCAGAGTCAGGTTAACATAACCGATATTCCCCCTTTTTCTATCAGCTGACCATTCAGAACTGTCTCCTTGGTGAAAGACAGATGAAAGATCATCTCCAGTCTCCGGAGGTGGAAGAAAATGAACTTTACCTCAGCATGAATTCAAGCGTAATTTTCAAAATTACCTTTGGTCTGGTCTAAATCGAGTATCAGTAGATGGTAACAGTGGTCTAGTGAGTGGGTCCAATTCATTTAATTCCAATGCAAATTGTGTGAAACCATACCACTGTTCATAATCCTTGGGCATTGGATCTGCAAATGTTAAAAAAAGTATTAATTTCTTCTTTTGATGCAACTCTTTAAGTGTTCATTTTTATGGTAATGAATTACATGATTATTTTAAAGGCTGGAGCAAAAATAATGGAAAAAGTTATTTTCTGATGTTTAGGCCCTCCTTCCATAGGGAAGTTTTCTTGATACCATCGTTAATGTAATTTAAATGTTTCAGATTGTCCTATTTTAAAGCACTAGCTAGTATTTTCTTGCAGTTTTCTGCCAGGCTAGCAGAAGTGGTGCCACTGGCAACAGGTAATTAGATTTGTTTTTTTTTTTTAATTTAGGTTGCGTGTGATTGATGAATGAAACAGATAATATGTATCCAAAATTAAAAAAGGAACTCTTCAATCAGAGGCAAATTCTGCAGCCAGTGACATCACTGCTGCTATGCTGACAGGGTTCTACAAGAGGATACTAGCCATTGTTAATAACAATGGCTTTTGTCTTGGTTCCTACCATTTTGCTGATTTTACTTTATACTTCTGTTTTCTGTTTTGCTTTATTGTTGCTATTTTACTACTTACTATTTAATATATTTTTAAGACAACTTGTTTTTTGTTTTGCACTTCACTTAATATTTTTTAACAACTGAAAGGTGAGGTATGGTATGATATTATCTGGGATGGTATGAGGTCTCCCGCCTTGGGCATCGGGGGTTGGACTAGAAGACCTCCAAGGTCCCTTCCAACCCCACGACGATTCTATAGTATACATTCCTTAACTAATAACACAAATTATTCACATCAGTTGGCATAAACAGTGCATTCCTACACTGTTACTTCCTAACAGCGCAAGTTTAGGTGGATTGGAGCAGACATTGCATGTAATTATATGATTGCCCGTTTTTGTTGCTTTAACCTTGATTAAGACCCCAGATGGATGCAAAATTAGTTTGTCAAGTTATGAGACCTGCATGTCAAAACGGAAGCATGAAGGCTAGAACTGCAAGAAAACTGTTGAAACTATTGTTTGCCGTGGAAACATGCAAAACTTAGACACTGTTCATTTAAAATATTAGCTCAAATCCTGTTGCTTTAACTTACACTATTTCAGGCTATTTTATTGGCAGAAATTATTTTGGGGAAAAAATCTCCCCCATCCTCTGGCTCCTAACAGCTTCCTCATAATGAAAAGGATCCCAAGACAGCCTCAAGATCCTTAGGGAGGAGTCTGCAATTTTTAATTTCCAAAATATCGTGACTGCTGATGTCATCAGCCTTACGTGGCATAAAATGCACAACAGGATTTCAATGACTGTTTGCAAAATTTCCTCAATCCATGATTTATATTTTTGTTTACTGCTTAATACAGCTTATCTATCTAGATGTAATCTCATTATATTTTATGTCTGCATATGACCAATGTTAGCATTCTTCTCCTAGAAGAAACATTATTTTTAAAATGTCTTTTAAGAACCAAAGTTGGCCTGTTTTAACCTTGACAAACAAAAACACTCACGTATGAGAAATTATTGTCAGGTTCTTTGCTAACTCATCCATGGTGCATCATACTGTAAAGTACTATAGAAGAAAGTGTGAATATTAAACATGCCCAGGCTGAGTAAAAATTGATAGAAGAATATTGTGAGAGAGTGCAGAAACATCATGTGTATGGAAATAAAATACTAACTTGCTCTCCAGATGCAGTTTGCTGAAGACGGTGTCCCACAGTACATACTTTCGTGCCATTTTCCAAAAAGCCGATGTATCACTTTTCCATTTTTGTCTAGAACACTGCCTTCAATTTCATTAACATTATGATTCCAATATTTTGTCTGCAGATAAGGTTAGCAAACTGAATGATAATCATTTTTAAAAGTGAGAAGGAAATTATCTTGCTACTTTGCATGCTGTTGTTTTGTACAATTTGCTTATGCATATTGGGTTCTATAAGCAAGAGAACTGATTTTGATTAACAACCAAACAGGCTAGTTTGGGAAATACTGTATGTGAACATCCTGATGTTGTTGGAGTACAAATTTCATCCTCTATTACTCCAAGCTGTGATGAACGAGGCTGATGGGAATTACAGTTTCACCTCTAAAGGTCTGTACGTTCCCCATCCCTGGCATTACTGGTTTCATCTGAGAAAGTGACTCTACACAAATATGGGCCATTAATTACTCCTCATTTAGCGAAAAGAGCTGCATGGTGATCATGTGACTACTTGATGAGCTATGCATCTTAGAGTTTCATTAAAAAAACAGTCAAGATTCTGTTTTGCCCAAGACGACTAACAAGCATCTCAGTCAAAGAGAAAAAGGTCGGATTTGCCACATCCAAACCAAACAAACTAGTCACTGCATTTGCTGGTCTGTGAAAATCTTTAGGCCGATTAATGTCTATTGGATGGTGATAATTGTATGGTATGGACAGATTAGGTAAAAGAAGCCATAAGATTTGAATAGTGCTGTTAATGGCAGGACCTTTCAGAGGTTATTAATTCATAAAGTTACAATAAACCAAAAGTGGCTTAGTGTGTAGAAGTGACTTAGGACTAGAAATGACATGGTTGTTCTTTGTATATTTTAATGCTGGAAACTACCCAGAGTAGTGGCAAGACTACTAGATTGTGTGGTATAAAACTATAATTAATAAATAAATGTAATAAAAATAACATATAAGGCAAAACATACCTATGTTTATGAGTTTAGAATTCTATTCAAAATCCTGATTCGCCTAATCATCCCGCTCACTGTCTCATTAAATATCCTAGCACAGGGGTGAGCAATGGCCTAAATATTTGTGTCCCTTACTTGCAAAAACCCTCTACAAAATCACATTTCAACCATCTGGCAAGAGTGATCTGTTCTTTCTCTAGCAGCCCATTGGTTAGGACGGAAGGAAGAGAAAGAAAGCAGTTGGGTTCATCGGTTTTTAACTACCACCCTGATCGCTGATCCCACTCATTATGAACTTATGGCCCTAACAGATTACCTATGTTGAGTGTGGCCTTCAACAGAAAAAAAAGGTTGCCCACCCTCATGTCACAGCATCTAAAACATTCTGAATATTACCTTTACAAATGTCAGCTTGCAGTAACAGCTGTTGTCATTCAGATTCTTGACTATGATTTCTCCATAGTGTTCTATCCATCGTTGGCCACTTAAGATATTATGAATGCAAGATGTCACCTTATTCCATTCATAATGGTCCCTAAAACTAGAATACAGTGGAGAACTGTAAGTTCATGCTGAAACAATGTATTAGTTAATGAAGTGAAAGGGTGTTCCTAGAATGCTCAGCTAAGACACCCCGAGATCCTGTGTTCAGTCCCTTCAAAAACAAGCAAAAAAGAGGCCACAAATTGAGAATGAGCCTCACTTCAACACAACAAGGTGATTTGTTCAAATGAACACTATTGTTATTTCATAAAGAAGGGTCACATTTTAATGGTAAGGATCACATTGTTTTCATGGCCAAACATCTCAAGATCCAGTCCTAGTCCAAACAAGAGGACTAGGTAGCTATTTAACACAAAAACTTCAGTCAAAGATCTTGGAGATACACTACACCAATGATCTCACTCAGCATAATGTAGCACTACATATGCACAATTAATTGCACATGGAAACAGAAAAAAATAAGACTGCAACAAAATCTTGCAGTGTGTTGTGCTATCCCCTTCAGGATAGTATCTCCTATCTCCCAAACCGAAACCCACCAACTTCCATTTTTGTCCTTGGTCAGTCAGCATTGCCTAGCCATGAACATGTTTAATTTTCCTTGTCTTATTGTGGATTCTCTTCTACAGATGTTTGAGACTTCTAAAAAACATGGCGTTTCCCTAACTGTACTTAAACCACTCTCTTGCACGCTTGTGCCTGTCTAGTTACATCAACAGGAAGAGCTACATGATGATCATGTGAATACTTGTCTGTATGTTCATTTGATAATTTTATTCATGCATGCTGCTTCAACACTTACACTGGAAGTATTACATGCGTTGTACCAACTGGCACAATTTCCATGGATTTCCCCCAGAATTTATTTTTCCATCTGATATCTGAAATTTTAAAAAAAAACCCCAAAAACAAATAATTATGTTCTTAACACCACATGTAGGCATCTCATTACTGCTGAGCTAAATTGTTTATGTTTTGGGTGATACTATAAGCTTGGTGGCTTTCATAAAATGATATGGTAAGCTGACAAAGGTATCAAACACAATGTACTTTCATTGTCATGTAGAGATCTGCAATCAGAAGTTCTATTATAAGTTCTGTGTTTCACTAATGTACCATCACACCTCTTAAAATTATAATGATCCTGAATCTATGATTGAAATCCTGTTGCTTAGTGTAGGAGGCCACACCACAGTACATCCATTTAATCAGTGGAGATTTTGTAAGTCAACTCCTCTGTAAATTCCACTGATTCAGATGGGCCTTCTCTAGTACAATTTACAGCAACAAGCAACAGGACTTCAGCCCATGTATGACAAGGAAAAAACAAAACAAAAAAATAACCCTCTGGAAGCATGACAGAATTCAGGCTAGTGAAAGTTACACTGACTGTGATTGTAGTCTTATATTCACTTAACCAGTAGTAAGCCACACAGAAATAAATTGGGTTTACATTTGAGTAGGAGGCTTAATGGGAGGATATCATAATTTGTAAATTAGGACAATTTGTGGCAGTGCTTGTAAATACATCTCGACAGTAGGACATGAAGTATTTCAGAGTAACCTGGTTGTCAGAATTATTTACCACATGCAGAGTGAACAAATCGTGCTTTCTGCAAATACCTCTTAGGCAGGTTAAGATAAGACACAACAAATTATAATGCCTTCAAATGCCCTTATTTATTTATTCATTCATTCATGCATTCATTCATTCATTCATTCATTCATTCATTCATTCATTCATTCATAACCAAAATTTGTACTAGTCAAACCCATGTGGCATAAGCATGTACTGAGATCGTTTAATCTGGCCTTAAAATAGTTTATTCTTAGAAACACCATTCATTAATTAGTCAATATTAGTTCCATGTTTTTGTTTTGTCAGCATTTAAATACTATGGTGTATAGGTAACAGGACAACCAGGGTAGCACAACATTTTAAAATAAATGCAATCTAATTACAATAGAAAGAATAAAAATGAAGTAGCAGCAACATAACCCAGAAAAACCTATAAAAATACACTGGAATGCTCCAGATAAAAATTATTTCACCTAGTGCTGAAAGGGCATTACAAACCAGGACCAGGTGAGCTTCTCTGGGCTGTTCATAAGGTGCCTAACCCGCCACTACTTGACAAACTAAAGGTGGCACGAGGACCCCGAGGCGATCAACTAGGGAAAAACACAGGTTGCAAGACAGCTGGCTACGTTCTTTGCATCCTGCTTCATTGGGCACAACCCCCTTAGTGCTCTTCTAACTAAAAACTTTACTTAAGAACACTCACGTGCCCTTCCTGTGGACTTCCTTTTAAGTCAATTTTTTGTTGGCTTAATTCAGAAAGCTCAGGAAAATCTAACCCATTGAATTAAATTAGTGCATATGTTCTCTTTTTAAAGGAACCCTCCTTACACACACAATTATAAATGGCAACTGTGATAGACTGTGTTCATATCAGGTACTACTACATTTAGCTTGCTTCTGGGCCTTGGATAGCAAGATGTTACTCATTAATTTCCTTTTCCTCTCAACCGTGGAGTGGAGATATTATGGTTGCACAGCTACAAAAGACACACCAAATTCTAAAGTCATACGGCTTTTAAAGATAACAGTGGATGCATATTTAGTATGTCAATGCCTGTCTTTCTATGCAGTTTTATAAAGTGCATAGCTTTGTCTGGGTGAGTACAATATAGTCTGTCTCCTTTGTGTACATATATTTCTGTTTTTTTACAACTCTGGTACTAAGCAATAACTTAAAAAATTACCTTGCCAAAACACAAAGTTATCAGATTCAGCATGGCATGCAGATATAGGAGGGTGATGACTGACCTAACAGGAAGAGGAAGGGAAGGTTACAATTACATTTACAAGTTTTTCAATGGCTCATATTTCTCTCATGAAGACATATTTTCATTTTTCTTTCAGTTGACCTCAAGAGGGAGCCTGTAGAATTAAAACCAGTGATAACTAAATTTATGTATAAAGATAGCTTTTCAAATCACAGGGAGCATTATGAAGTTCACTCAGGTTTTTGAGCTAGTTATTGGATGGTGAGACCTTTAGAAGGGGACCACCAAAAGAAGATTTCAGTGCATTGGCAGCTCAATAGGAATTCAAGGGTTCCAACGGCAATGGACTATACTTAAAAGGAGAATGTTTCTGCATTGGTGAGAATAATTCCCTCCAACTCTCTGTACTGTATCTGTTTCTAGAAGGATAAGTCATGTCACTCTATATTGCAAAACCAATGAAGAGTCTTGTGGCTCCTTAAAGATTATAAAACCCTTTTATGAACTGCAGCATGCGTCTTCTGATACAAGTACAAAGCCTCAGCAGAGACAATGGTAACACATGGAAAGTGGGAGGAAATGTGACAGAAATGGGAAAAGGCCAGCATGGTGATGGTCTTAACAATAGTTCTTAAAAGTTACGCAGTAGTCCTTGGGAGGTGACCAGTACAGATCTGAATGGGGTCATTAAGAGTAGGTGACAAATACATCCAAGTACAAATAGATTTTAAAAATTTGTGGTGGAGAAAAGTTTTTGCCAAGTAAATAGAGGAGTTGAGCCCACAGATACATACAGTTGGTGCAGAATTTTGATCAGAGGCTATGGAAAGTTGGTACCTAGCAACAGCTCTATTTTGCACTAGCCAGACTTCTTTTTTGCAAGCATAGTCACAACCATTACCATTATACAGTAATTGATATAATTATATGCAAGAAAACTGTGTAAATTACTGAAGACATCTTATGGATGTTACATTCCTAATAAAATCTTGAGTGCCACGACACCACCAACCATGATTAATTTCACTAGGTCCCAAATATTCATGAGACTAAATTGTAATTGTTTGAGCATTCAGTGCCTATAACATGAAAAAAAAGTTGGTGGAAGAACTTCAAGAATAGACTTGTGCTAAAGAGACTTTGACTAAGTAATTGGAACTTGGAGTTTCTTCAAACCGAAAGATGATAAGAATTCTAGTACCTGTTCGGAAAAAAACTGGAAACCTTTATCTTCACGGACACATTCATAGGTTTCTCCAAGCACAGGATTAAACGGCTTACTACCAGCTCTATAGTAACTGGATGCATAGGCAGAGACGGCAAAAGCAGCAACATATATCTACAAAACAGAATGCAGAAATGTATGTTGGTCATTTACAGGGCATTGCTGTGTGCCATCATCTCCCATTATATTTGGATGTTGTGAAAGCAAGGGATTTTGATGTCAGATTGAAATCAGACACCCTTTCTTCTCTACTTCACAAAAATTCATATTTCTGTTTAAGTCTCTGACAAACTGCTGTCTTATCTTGACCACCAGAATATGACTCAGTACTTACAGAGTTACCGTAAAGACCTTCCTAAAGCCAGGGAAGGTTCTGAAGCAAGACAGAATGGACTTCCAAATAAGTGAGTTGTTTTAAACAACTTCCACTGCAAATTCTGGATGAGTTAAATCTTATTTCATTCTCACTGGAAATGAATGAAAATAAGTACATACGTATATTCCCCCAGATGAGTGCACAGAAATGGTAAAGAGCTCTATTTTTCTATCAAGGTCAGACAGAGCTGACAGTGGGAAAGATTCTGGAGCAGAGCCAAAATGTTTGCTTTATGTTCAGAATGAAGAAGTGCAGTGCCAAGCATGCTTATGGTAATCCAAACACACTGTGGCCATCACACCACCATTAGAGGGTGCAAATCCTAATAAGCACAACAAAGTATTTTCTAAGACTGGAGAAAAATTAGTATTGGTTCATGTGCTACTTTATGTAACAAAAAGACTAGTACAGTACCGAATAATCTACAGTAAATCAATGAGGACCAATTTACGAGAGACACTTCATGAGCACATTCATTTCATATATCCATTCTGTTCATCTTAACTAACAGTAGTGATTCTAACTTTAGCGTAGGCCAATGGTGGTGACTGTTTTACTTCCATGCAAGAGTTTTAATGAAATACCTCCTCACCCCTCAGCAAGCTGCTGTTTGATCCAGAAGGGAAACTGCCAATGTGCAGATCATGTCAGAGACAAATTCCCTCCTGGTATAAACCACAGATTTTCCAGTATCGTGATGGGCAGAGGAGAAGCTCATTGAACCAGCAGCAGGAAGGGGGAAGAAGATTAATCTCCTCACCATGTATTATGTTCTTGACTGGACCCCTGTATGGATTAATTGGCTAACAACATAAAATAATACAAAGGATATATATATCCTTTGTATTACATTCTTGACTGGGCCCCTGTATGGATTTTTTTTTTTGCAGTGAAATAGATGCCCATGCCCTTCACTATGCATTTTCTTAAGAGGGAAATAATATTTATATCAGATTGAGTTGTGCATAAAAACATATCTGATGACAGAAGGTGGTTGCCCGTTTGCGTTAAAAGCCTAAATTAGGCTTGGAAAAGGACTCACTTCTCTTTCCCTAGCATACGTGTATTTTGCAACCTGAAGTTAGATTCCACTTTTTATTTATGAGCAGAGCATGATTGCAGACTTCTAGGTTGCATGGAATGTTTGCTCCAATTGTGAGATTCGTAGATGGGCTGTGCATGACCCAGCCACTCTGAGATGGACCAGATAGTCTTAATTCCCTTTGATGGCTCTAGAAACTTCCAGTGGAGTAAGGAGAGTAAAAGAAGGTGAACAGAATCATCTCCATAAAACATGAGGAGGGCTCACATGCTTAGTGAACATGAAGCCTAGCATAATGGGCCTTCACACAGAGGTTTACTGTTACATGCCTGATCATATATGAAAAGCTTTTATGAGATCTGCCCTCAGACACAATTTCTTCTTACCATTCTTTCAAATGGATCAGGTGTGTGCGCAGCCTTATCCAGCAATTCACTGTACTCCAGTTCCTCACAGAGCCTTTGCAAAGTGTTCAATGGTTCATTCAACTCAACCGGCATAGCCACCTTAGAGAGGTCTTTCCCTATGTTGTTTCGCAGAATATTCCACAGGCTAATATTACTAGTGTTGGGACATGAGGCTGGGAGACATGTCCTCCGCTTGGAATGGCTTGCCATGTTGCCATCAGGAACACAGTCTGGAAGACAGAGGCCAAGACTAAGTTTAGCACCTTTGCAGAAGTTTATTCCTTTGGCTAACATTTAATTGTTGCACTTCCTTCAAAGAGCTCAAGACTTAGTACAGCAACTTCAAAACAACTCTAAGAGGCAAATTATGCTGAGACTCCACTGGTTTACCCAGGGCCAACCAACTGTAGGAATATTGAAGCCTGTACATCCTGGCTTCCAAATCTGACTCTCCAACTGACATAGTACTACATTCTCTTATGACTGATCACCTAGGAAACAGAGGCGAGTGGTGGGCATGATCAAAGCCACATTCACACACATCCACTCATCTACACCTGGATCACACAAGTGATCACAAACCTCCTTATACTTCTTTTCACCATTTCCCCTGTATGTATACTCTATCCTCTCTACACAGAGCAATTAGGCTTCAATAAAAAGGCCCCAATTGCACGGAAATTATGTGAATTCTTGGGTGGGTGGCATGTGAAGATTGGAGGGTTAAGCACAGCAGGCTTAAGAAAGGAAGTCTCTTTGGAGATACCACTCTGAATCACCACACCAAATGTTCCTTTGCTACATACAGTGGCAGATACTCTTGCACTCTTCTTGGGGTACTGCTGCCACTACTTCACTAGATTTGCTTTCACTACATACTATTTGTTCTAGGCTTTTACACTCCACTTCACTAAAATTCTAGCAATGGGGTCCAGACAGTAGGCATGTCTATGCCTAACAACACATGGGTGTAAGGGAAAGCACTGCATGCAAAAGGGAAATTAAGGAAAACATTTTTGCAATTTTCTGACCCTCTGTCCATTGTCTGGGCATGCAATTGAGTGTGTTACCTGAGTATATCTGAGCAAGTGACAGTAGGAAAGATTATGACACACCCTGTTACACAGTGTAGGGTTTATGTTAACCTGGTAGGATTCTGACCCTATAGTTGCAGTGAATCATTAATGTACTACTATGTCGTAACCATCTAAATGCAACTTTTCCTCACATTTCTATTCTCTCTTCCTACTGGATGTAAAAGGGAAATCCCACCCACTCTCCTTGGAACTCAATCTTAAAGCCACCCCATCTTCATAATATGCTTTCCACCACCCTCTCGCTGCATTATTCCAACATCACCTCTCAACCAATCACAATCCCGATGCAAATTCAATCTCCATCATTGGACATTCCGCGCCTGTCATTCAATATTCATATATACCCCTTACCTTACTTACCATAAGACTATATGTGGGCAAGAACTTTAGTTTGGAGGTTTGTGCTAGTTTGTATGTGCAATACCACAGGTGCCACGTGTTGCCTTTCCCCACCTCCCCTGCTGGATGTGCTCCTCTCCTCCACTTCTTTGGCTGTCCTCCACTTCTTTGGCTATTCAACGAGTCTCCAGCAGGAGCACAGGCTTCCCTGCGCCCCACCTTTTTGGCTGATTGCCCATTTAGATATGGAGGCAGGACATGGAGGCAGAACCTCTGAACCAAGATTCATGCTCATCTCTACATAATTTGTTTTTAAAGGCTATAGCATTTCAAAGCTGAGTTTATATTCTGGGAATGTTTATAATCCTTAGCATTCCTTTTGTTCCGCCAACTTCATATACAAAGTACGGTGCATCCAGTAGAGCAAAAATTAGATATTTCTTCACCAGAAGCAGAGCTTAAGAGAGAGGAGATCTGGACTGTGTCTAAACAATGGTGGGAAAGTGCTGAACTTTCTTGAAGTGTGTCAAGAATTTCTAGCATGACCCATTCTCACATGAGAGGCAGAACCCACAAGTGGAGGGAACGTCAAAAGATTCAGAAGTGTCATGTTTGGGCATTTGTGCGTGCCACTGCTTATGGCCTGGATTCTTCTCCTCTAGAAGCCCCAAAGCAGGGAGGAGGAAGGAAAGAAAATGGAACTCTATTGAAGGGTTCTTTCTACACACAGTGGTTTCTACCACATGAGGAGAGACTGCTGTGGGCAATTTCTTAGCTACAAAAGATATATATCCTTTACCAGGAAATATAATCCTGAATCTGTCTTCATCTCTGTATGTGCATTAACCAATTTCTGGTAAAGAAAAAGAAGTTCTGAGAACAAGATACAAGAAAGTCACCCTGCCTACCGACGGTTTGCCTTTCATTCTCTGTGCCACTGCTCAAGTTGTCTTCAGAGATGTTATCACTTACATCACTGGCATATGAGTCATCATCAGATACCTGAGGAGGAAAGAAATATGCTTTCATTCTGATCTAAAAAAAGAGGGAGGGTTTCACATGATAACACATTTGGGAAAATTAAAAAAAGATGATTTTTTTAAAAAAGCATGCAGTTTAAAGTGGATATTTGCAACAACACAGTTCCGTTATAGCATCTGTTATGGATTATATGCCAGGAGAAAAGAAAAATAAAGTCTAAATATACAATTCTTAAACTATCCCTGCAACACGCTTCTGACTAACAGAGAACAAATCATATCAAAACACACTGCTTAAGAACGTTGTTTTAAAAAACAAATTTTGTAGTAACTTCATCTTGTGTTCCTCCCCTATCCTCCTCCATTCTTCACTAAAACTGATCAACAATAAACTACCATGGAAGCTGAAATGTCAGATAATATGTCCTTTGCTATGCTGACACTGCAATTAGTGCTTAAAGGCAGTAAAGGCCAAGTGACATTGAAAAGAGCGACATGAGACCAATGCTTCCGACACCAGTTCCCAGACCTCGTTTTCTGAAGAACTAGCAGATAAGAGGACTTCCTGTGCATCAAAAAACTCTGTGAGAGAATCTGTTATAGACAGCCGACTTTCATTGGACAGTTGGTGGACCAGACTCCTGTTTTCGTCTTCTGAGTTTTCCTGCAAATGAGAGACAAGAAATGGGTCCTGAGTCAAAATGTACGTCTAGGTATAAACCACACACAACTACACAGAAAAGATACAAAAAACCTTTACAAGCTTTTGAACAAACTTTTGCTTAGATAACTTGAGAAGGAGAGACAAAACCAAGCAGCCCTTGGAATCATACAATGCCATCCTCTTTATCAAAATGGCACCTATTGCATGCATCGTTTACCAGTGCTCCAACATAAGTCTTTCTTCCTGACACGCATAAATACAATATTACTACAAATATGGAGGATGGTAACGGAGTCTCCACTATCGCAGGACCAACATTACCATGAGACAAAGTGAAGTGACTGCCTGAAGTAGTAGGTTCTCAGGAATAGTCTAACTGTTTTCTATTGGAGGACAGAGGTGGCTGTACCACACAATATTCCTGAGTATGTTAAGCTGAACCTGATCCCTCAAGTGTCACTGAAATTGCTATCTCAAAACGAATGCTGAAGTAAGATTCTACAGTGGTGCCTCGCTTAATGATTACCTCGTTAAACGATGAAACCGTTTTATGATGAAGTTTTTGCAATTGCTATTGCGACCGCAAAAACGATGTTCCCATGGGGAAAAATCGCTTAACAATGATCGGTTCCTTGCTTCAGGAACCGATTTTTCGCTAGACAACGATTTTAAAACTGCTGATCGGCGGCTCTAAAATGGCCGCCCACTGTGCAAAATGGCTCCCTGCTGTGCTTTAGGATGGATTCCTCACTTTACAGGCACCAGAAAATGGCCACCCTATGGAGGATCTTCGCTGGACGCTGAGGTATTTAGCCCATTGGAACGCACTGAACCGGTTTTCAATGCATTTCAATGGCTTTTTAAATTTCGCTTTATTTATTTATTTATTTATTTATTTTCCCGCCCATCTGGTCTGGTCGACCACTCTGGGCTTTATGACATTTTCGTTCCAATGCGATTTCGCTGGAACAAATTCACGTCGTTAAGGGA